TGAAGTGCAGAGTCCTGAAGTGGAAACGTGTGGGAAGAACCAGGTCTTCCGTGCTGAAGAGCAAGTCGAGAAAAAAGGCCAAGGGCAGCAATGTGATTTAACCCCAGGGAGACACAGGAATCCCTATGTCGCCAAATGGCTGAGGGTGATTGTTGAGCCACATGTAAGCTCATGCCGGGACCCCGATGACGGGAGAGAGTCACCCTCTACAACCCAGGCAGAATTAGAGGCCGTGGCCCTACTGGAGACCCTGACTACTGGGGTTCTGCTTCTTTGCTGTCTTCCAAGAAAGAAAGTCATCGGCATCACTGTCACCTATTTTGCTGTTTCCATGAGGCAGGAGCATTCTTGACTGTCATAGGGCGATTAGCAACAGTCTGAATTGGAGTTGTGTAGCGTCACTGCTTATGCACTATCACATTCTTGTCGCAAACTTGAAAACTTTGTCTGAAGGGACCGGGTGTTAGGACCAGATGTTTATCCCAAAAAATGACAGTCCATGACAAAAAAAAAAAAATTGATGCCACTGTGCTGATAACTGGGTTTTTTACTATGGTTGCCTCAGTCCGGCATTCTATGAGTTAGGAAACTCCCGTCGTCGAGCGATTTTAGTTTGTCAATGGAATGAATAAGCCAGCTTTTTTACTTATCTGAATTAACCAATATTACTACAGGAGTATTAAATTTTGCCCTCAGGCCCCAATGTGGGTCAGTGACCTATGCGGGTAGGCTAATTCATAAAAAAAAAGCGCGGGGAAATTAAGGTTTTGTTTACATCAAACTGATTCGGCTGCTCTCTCTCTCCGCTTGCTATACAAAATTACAACTTTATTTATTATATATATGAGCAGTAAATAGTGTTTGCTTTCCTTATTTCCTTATAAGTAAATAGCGATATGTTTTTCATATACTTCTGGCGCCAGTCTCACTTTTTTTTACCATTAATGGTTAGCACCATATATTTATTTTAAAATTTAATAACGTTAAATAACTATTACAGGTACTTCGGCAACCATATTAATTTTTTTTACATTAATTTTACTACAGCTAAAATCAGAGACCTTATTTTCTTTAGTTTATATATAGAATAATCAGTCACTGGTTTTAAACTGTATAAACAATATGACAGCGATGCAATATATCTCTAATATTCCACGTGTTATTAATAGATTATGTGTATTGTTCATTTTTACACAAACAGTAATTCCAAGTAAAACAAATTCCAAAGCATAATTAAAATATATATGAACATTCAAATAAGTGTATTTCATATTCTTATGTAAAGTAATGGCATGATATGTAAACTTTAGTATACTTGCATCTGTGATCTCTCTTTTTTTCTTTACCATTATAAATTTAGCTACTTCCTGTTGTTCATTTATTAACGTTAAATAACGTACTTAAAACAACCATATTCGAATTTGATTTTACTACAACTACAGCCAAGGTCTTATTTTTCTTGATTTTATATATAGGGTAATTGATGCTGGCTGTAATCCAAAAAGCAAAACAATGTTTTGTATCATTTCCTCATATGTTGTTTTGTATTCTCAATAACCCAGTAATGAATTGTATTGCTCATTTTGCACACATAAAGATTAATTCAATAAAAAAGACATTCAGTAATAAACAATAATGAATCTTTTGTACATAAGAGAAATGACGCTGTTTACACGATTATGCACTTCGTCTGCACTTTGGCGGGCCGTTCAAACCCGTCGAAATTCAAGTTTCCGCCGTCAAAATTTTTATTTATTTATTTTTTTGTGCGTTCCAATAAAATACGTTAAGAATTAAAAACTCGCGAAATTTGAGGAGCTACTATACGACATTTAACCCTTCAATATGTCTTCAAAGAGACCATGATGCAGAGAAAGTGATGCTAGTGCTTCCAAGCATAAGCACAAGTCACTATATATCCAGGAAAAGGGTGAATTTCCATGGTCCGGCACCGGTCAGTTCCCGAGGTTGCCGGACTAGAGAGGTACAACCCGTAGTTGTCTGCACAGGCTGGGATTAGTAGACTCGCTGAATTCGTCAGAAATACGACTTTTAAGGAGCAGTCTCTTACAGCGTTTGTTGACACTACACACGCATGCGCGTTCCCTCGATCAGTTGTCTAAGTGCAAAAGTAACCAAATTGAGCCGTCATGTATTAATTAATTTTAAAATAGAAATTATAAAGTAAAATGTTATAAGACAATGATTTAGTAGTGTTGTTAATGTGTGTGTTGTGTAAGTGTCTTGGCATGTTACCTCACCACCTGACTCGTCACCTCACCACCTGACTCAATCACCTCACCACCTGACTCGTCACCTCACCACCTGACTCGTCACCTCACCACCTGACTCGTCACCTCACCACCTGACTCGTCACCTCACCACCTGACTCGTCACCTCACCACCTGACTCGTCACCTCACCACCTGACTCATCACCTCACCACCTGACTCATCACCTCACCACCTGACTCGTCACCTCACCACCTGACTCGTCACCTCACCACCTGACTCATCACCTCACCACCTGACTCCTCACCTCACCACCTGACTCCTCACCTCACCCTTCACCACATTAGCGCAGCTCGGAGTTACATTGATTTATTACTGTATTATTTGACTTTTTTAGTATTGTTTGTACATTTAAAGAAATATTTATGTTTGCACAGTACAGTAATTATAAATAGGCCCAGAACAGAAAAATTCAGCCTTGCCCAAGCAGTTAGTCTTCCCACCCACGCACCAACCATGTGAGGATGCGGGTAAATATGGTGCAATCTTTAATAATGCTGGGAACCTTTGTCCCCAGACCCAGAGCAGAAAGGTTTGGAGTGATTTTCTCCCCGTTTTCTGAGACTTCCCGGTAATTACTTTACATCATTACTATTCATTGTTTTTATACATTTAGTACATTCGCCGTAGGCTGAAGTAGGTTTTACTGTCTGAGGTGTCTCCGTAGTGTGTGAGCATATTAACGTAATTAATCTTGATTAAGCTAACTAGTTCACTAAATCGAGCAAAAAGTAATGGAAAAAAATGCCTTCCGCTAAATCACGAGTTCGTTGTATCAGAGTCCATTAAATCAAGAGTATATGTGCCATTTGCTGATCAGGGAGTGGGGGGGGGTACTTCTTTCATATTTAAAAAAAAAATTATATTTTTTGTTATTTTAAGTACATACAAATAGAGTAACACTCACCATTCCATGCTGGCTGTTTGTGTAGAGCCTGTTCCTCTGTTCCCTGCCACTGATGAATATCATGATGAATATGATGAATGATGATGATGGTGAAAGCTGGGGAGTTAGTTACAAGTGCTCTCCACCTGCCTTGGAAAACGAGGCAGGAGAGGGCAAGAGGAGGTCGGGGCTGGGGACGGCAGGCCGCGAACATGCTGCAAACTTTAAGAGCACCCGAAGACATTCTTGGGTACATCTTGGGTGTCATCCCGGAATAATCAAAGGCCGCATATTAAAAATCCATGAATTGTAAGGGCATGCTGTATTGTGTTTACTGTTTGTTAGGTAAAATACAAGTTGTTTGTGTTGAGAAGTATATTGCATAACTTCACATCATCAAAATTATAATTTGTATTTATTTTTTATTGTTTTATGTGAAAGAGCAACCAACTAGCCTTGTGTGTGGGAGGGGATGATGTTACAGATACGGCAGTATGCGAGTGTTAAAGGATTTCTGCATAACTAGATTTGGTGAGGTCACTTCCCATCTAGACTGTACAGTATTGAAGAGCAGTGTCTGATGTGTGGTAGAAGAGGAATGTTACCACAGGCTAGAAATATTAACACTTGACCATTTCACTATTTTGGTTTTATAAATCCTTACACATTTGGACAGTGCATAGCAAAAGATAACAACTGTAAAGTGTGGTTGCTAGGTTTAATGTAATTGTTGCGGACAGGTGCAGGGTGAAGGGGACAAACAATCGCTTGAAATGGTTGCTTTCTTGCGAGTAAGCGACTTATGTGGCATACAGTATTAATACTGGCATCTTTTAAAGTACAGTAATGCATTTCTTGGTCTTGTTATTGCTATACATTCTTTTATCATCCTCTGTCTTAGGTGGGTAATAGGAGAAGTTTTATTGCCAAGAGCTCTAGGAACACATACCTAGTAAGGATTATAAGTGTTTTTACACTACAGGCAGTCCCCGACTAATGACAGGGATGAGTTCCTGGACCCTGATCGTAAGTTGATTTGTTAGTAAGTTAGAACAGAGTTAATTCCACCGTCCAGGTTAGACTAAAAGCCATAAAAAACAACAGTAATATCCCATTACAAATAATGTAAATACAGGTGCTCCCCGACTTACGAAGGGGTTAGGGACCCAAATCCAGGTCGTAAGTCCGAATGGTCGTAAGTCCGACAAAAAAAAAAAAAAAAAAATATTTAAATAAAAAATCTACAATGAAATACAGTACAGTGAAAGTAATAAATAATGAGGAATGGATACTGTGTGACTGCACACTTACCTTTAATGTAGTCAGCTGAATGCACATGGGACCCCCATAATTTTCTAATTATACATGGAGACTACATTAACTGGAAACGTTTCGGTATAGAAAATGCGTGTGTCATTTGAAATAGAAAAAGAAAAAAAAATTGAAAAAAAAAATGGTCACAACTGCTGCGGTCGTAAGTCCCGATGGTCGTAAGTCCCGACGGTCGTAAGTCCAAGCAGTCGTAAGTCGGGGACTACCTGTACTGGAAATAAACTGATGTTAAACAATATAGAGTAATGAAAATAATATAAAAAATGGGATTTTAATTACATATTTTTGCGATGAATGTACTGTACTGTATTGGGATCCCGTTCGTAAGTGTGGGTGTTCTTAAAGTCGTATGGTCGTAACTCGGGAACTGCCTGTACAAATAATTGTATATTTTTGTGTATTGAATAAGATTGTAAATTTTGAAGCAAGTAGGATTAGTGTTAATACATCTATGTTGGAAGGATGCTGAGGTTTTTTTGTTTTGTTTTTCAGTGGAACATCTCAGACTATTTTTACCAGAACCAGGAAAAGCTTCGTGCCTCCCTTACATCAGATAATCAGGTGTTTCCAGACTTCCCAGGAGTTCCCAACATGCCTCCTTTTGACAAACTGTGGATGTGTCTCTATGCCAGACTAGGTATGTAAAAATATTATCAATAAAGTTACTTCATCATTCAGGAACTTATGTTGGTTATAAACTCTGGGGGTAACTGATATGTAAATTGCCTTCCTTCAAAAATTTTATTTCTACTATTGTTCTTATTGAACCGTCTTTTTCAGATCTGCATGTCTTTAGGAATCATTGTAATTTGCTGCAGTGCTCCTTTCAGTAACTCCCACCATGCCAGCAAGTGGACTCTTTTCTTTTTCTCCATCTATATATCATTATATGTTGTCTTGCTCCACTACCAAGTGCATCAGCAGACAATATGCATATTTTTTATTTTATTCAGTGTACCAGCAGTCAACTTTGTGATACTGGAATTCCTACATGCTTTACTCTCCATTACTCTTAAGTGAGACTTTGAGTTAACACATAATTTTCAGCATATTTGAGTAGAAAGATGAATGTATATACTATACCTGTGCCTGCAGGTGACTTGTGTGTGGACTCGAGACCTGCAGTTCGCAAGTCAGCAGGCCAGACACTTTTCTCCACCATTGCCGCCCACGGTGCTCTGCTTCATAATCAAACTTGGCAGGCAGTCTTGTGGCAGGTGAGAGAGGGGTGTCATTTTCACTGTAAAATATACAGTAATTTTTTTTTATATAAATGTTATCTCAAAGATTTTTTTTTTTGGGGGGGGGGGAGGAAGGGAGTTATTAATGTTTTCTTTTCTTCTACATTCTTATACACTTTATAGTGTATGTAGTGGTCTGTTGCCTAAAATATTTGGTAATTTATGAGAGCCCTCACAACAAACCCTGGAACTCAGGTGCAGGAAACAGGTTGCCTGCATGAAATAAAACAGGTGCAGGAAACAAAACAGTATAATCAACAGTAATGCAAAAGGTTATACGATATAAAGATTTATCATTTTATATTATCTTTTATAAGTACATTATACATACATAATGGATCATTAATTTAACAGTATAAGAGCCAAGCCAGAACATGTGAAGCATAACTCTCAGGACTTGTGTCTCACTTCACTGTTGCCACTGGTTGTACTGTGTCATGTTTGTTTCCTTGTAAACAATTTTCACCTCTGGGTGCCAGGCTCTGAACCCTGACCACCACGATTGGTAGTCAGGCAGCTTATCCACATGACCACGATGAGCTTTAAAGCTGCCTGGCTACCAATCGTGGTGGTCCGGGTGCAGAACCTGCCACCCAAAGGTGAAAGCTGTTTACATTGATTTACCTGTGTAGATTACGTACACGTTCTTATTTGTTTCTTTTTGTTGCCAGTTATGGACCTCCTCAGTCACATCATAGTTTCATAATATTGGAAGCCTTGGATTCAGAATTTAGTTTAGGACAGTAGCTAATAAAATAGCAATAAGAATTAAAACCATTTAACCATGGAAAGATTGGATGCAAATCATTATTATGTGTTTGGAGGAAGAATGAAGTAAATGGATGGAGTTGAGGGCAGTTGTGTCAGTGACAGATGTGTGAATGTGGCCCAGTTTGTTCTGGCTAATGTTTTTAAAATTTGGCACCAAGCGTCTTTCTGAAGCAAAGGAGCATCTTAAAGGCTGATATGGGTAGTTGTATAAAATGTTTTTCAAATGATTCCCAGATATATTAAGGATGGAAACATTAAAATGACCATTGCTTAGCCCAACCTGCTGGATAGTGGGGGTGTACAGGCTGTTTCATAAGTTTCACACCATACTGTACAAAGTGCTTCGTAGGTCACACACCATACTGTACAAAGTGTTTCATAGGTCACACACCATACTGTACAGAGTGTTTCATAGGTCACACACCATACTGTACAAAGTGCTTCGTAGGTCACACACCATACTGTACAGAGTGTTTCATAGGCTGCACACCTTACTATACAGGGTGTCTCATAAGTTGCACACCTTACTGTACAGGGTGTCTCATAGGTTGCACACCATACTGTACAGGGTGTCTCATAAGTTGCACACCTTACTGTACAGGGTGTCTCATAGGTTGCACACCATACTGTACAGGGTGTCTCATAGGTTGCACACCTTACTGTACAGGGTGTCTCATAGGTTGCACACCTTACTATACAGGGTGTCTCATAGGTTGCACACCAAACTGTACAGGGTGTTTCTAGGTTGCACACCATACCAGGGATGTGATTTCTCCGTTTTTCCAGTTTTCGTTTTTTTTTCTTCATCGTTTTAGGCAACCCACGTGAATCTTGTAGATCCAATGCAATTTGTTTTTTTGTTTTTTATGGGAGGGGGGATGACCATGACAAGAGAAATGTTAGACAATAATTGACCCTCTAGGGTCAATGGGTAAGTTTACTGACTGCCGCTTGAGGACGATGAGCCAGTACACTGAGTATAGTGGCCACACTCTACATGCTCATGCATTACATCATATATTACTCTATTTCTCATTGACTGAGTATTGCTCGTTTTCCATTCATTCTTCGATTCTTAAGTATTTCATTGACCAAAGGTCAATGATGTCATACAATGCCATTATTAAAAGCATTATAATATGCCCCTCCACCCTATCAACTTGATCCACCCTCCCCTGATGCCACTGGGGGGGCTAAACATTTTTCAATACAGTTGTACCCCACTTAACGCGGTCAATTGAACCCAGAGGGTCCCGCGTTAAGTGAAATCCGCGTTAAGTGAACAACAGAACATATGGGATTAATTCCAATAGAAACCGGCCCGACCCCCAAACTCCACTTTTTGAAGGCACATACCTATGTTGTAGTAAAAATAACATCTTAATTTTATGATGGTACATGCACACAATTAATACTTAAGAGAAATAGAGAAATACAGTCGCCAAGTTAATGTCCATTCAAATAATGGACTCAACTCCCTCCCCCTCTCACACTACACTGCTTGGGGGAAAACCACAAAATTTTAATAAATAATACCTCAAACTAAAGTTAGGATAATACAATTGACATTGCTGGATTCCTTGTAAGACCAGGAATATTTTGAATATAAATGTCATATATTTTGCACAAAAGATAACATAGTTACCTAGAAAATTTTTTTATCTAAAATTTGTATGTTTAATGCAAAATATATGATGTTTATATTCAAAATGATCACCAAATTATAAGAATTCCAGCAATGTAAATTATATTCTGACCGGGTAATTTGTATGAATTTTATGAGCTAAAACAAATATCTTCAGTTAATAAAAAAAAAAATAATCTTCACGACACTATCTGTCAATCAAAGTACCCCACCTTGCCTCCCCCCCTCTTCCAACCGCGCGGTCAGTCCCAACCCTCCCCCCCACCCCCCACCAATCCTCCCTTCCAGAGTTTTTAACATTTAGTATTAAATAATACCTCAGATTAAAGTTAGGATAATATAATTGACATTGCTGGATTCCTTGTAAGACCAGGAATATTTTGAATATAAATGTCATATATTTTGCACAAAAGATAACATAGTTACTTAGAGAAAAAATTTTATCTAAAAATTGTATGTTTAATGCAAAATATATGATGTTTATATTCAAAATGATCACCAAATTATAAGAATTCCAGCAATGTAAATTATATTCTGGCCGGGTAATTTGTATGAATTTTATGAGCTAAAACAGGCAGTCAGGCAGGGTGGCGGGTGGGGCAAATCTAAAAATAGCGTCTCGAGCCGGACACTCACCGCGTATATGTGGAAAAAATCCGTGTTAAGTGAAAGTTCAGCTCTGGCGAGGCACCGCGTATATGATAAAACGCGTTAAGTGAAACCGCGTTAGGCGGGGTAATACTGTATAACTAATTTTCAATAATCATTTTTCACTTTCTGATGATCACAATTTATTGTATAACCTATGCCATATTTCTTAGTTATATAGGCAACTCAGTATTTGTTTACTATTTCTTTCAATATATCAACAAAGCAACTACCTGTGTGTATCATAGCTGGACGGCGTCTTATTTCACAATATCACTTCGTCGAGGATATTGTGAAATTAGAAGCTGTCCAGTGTAGATCAACAAAGATGATGTCTTCAATATTTAACAAACCCTGTGAAGAAAGGTTGGAGGAATTAGACTTGTTTTCATTAAAGAAGCGTCAACTCTGGGGTAGATTAATTGAATGTTTTATAATATTCAAAGGGTTCACCAACTTTGACCCAAACAAACTATTTATACTTGATGATAACTCTCGTACGAGAAGTAATGGAATGAAGCTAAGATGCCGGCAGGTACAATTAGACTCTACAAAATTTTTTTTCACTAATGACATTGTTAGAGAGTGGAATAAGCTTCCAGCTTCAGTTATTCAAAGCAATACGATTAACACTTTAAAAAAAACACCTCGATCGCTACCTCTCTAACATAGATATAATTGCTAATTTTTTTCACGAATGGATGTGAGGGTCTGTGTGGTCTGTGGTCTGTGTTTCTATGTAAATCTCTGTGCATCTCAACAGATTTGTCATACTTGTATATCTTCTTTCTTTGCTTGTAGGCACTTTCACCTGTTTCTCATTTTCTCGTAATGTGATTGACTCAAGTCATATTACGTCAGTCCTTGGTATTTTGGCCTAAGCCTTTGGTTCTAGTTTTATTTATAAAAAAATAGGTACACCCACTAAAAAATTATTCGGCACCCATGTCATATTGTATCACGCCGTTAGGGTGCTGAATAGTTTTTTAGTGGGTGTGCATGTATGTATCATGTATGTACAGTATGCATGTGTGTGTGTGTGTGCATACAAGTATCATGTACACCCACTAAAATATTATTCTGCACCCTTACGGCGTGATACAATATGACACGGATGGCGAATAATTTTTTAGTGGGTGTACAATTATTCTTGGCATTTTTAGGTTCATCATAATATTTAACATTAATTCTGAATTATTGCTACAAAATAATTCCAATCATAACTGGAAATTACTTGCAACTCATAAAAGGGACAGCACTCGGTACACAAATAGTTCTTGTATCTCATGATGACTCGTCTGGACTCTGTACTCCTACATCCGTACTAGGGAGGGGGAAGTGAAGACACACATTCTCATTCGTGGTTTGTCACTGGTAATACCTACGCTTGCCTTTGGTAGTTTTATAGATAAGCCTTTGCCCATTTAGTGATTTTCTTTCATCATACTCCTAACTTTATGCTATGGTTTGGTTTGATAATATTGAGATTATTTTTTTATTATAAACATCTGACTGCGGGAGCAAAAATCATCTGGAGTTAGCTAGATTCAAGGGAAATCAAGAAATACAGTGTAGTTCATGAAGTATTGTTTTTTTGTACATTATGGTGGAATCTTCCTTTAATGTGATGGGTGACAGTCTCCATGAAAAGTCTACCTACACAAGTACAGTAGTATTACGCGGTCAATTGAACCCACGGGGTACCGTGGAAAGTGAAAACCACGTAAAGTAAACAACAGAACATATGGGATTAATTCCAATAGAGACTGGCCCGACCCCCAAACTCCACTTTTTCAGACACAATACCTACGTTGTAGTAAAAATTACATCTTAATTTTATGATGGTATGCACACACAATTAATAATTAAGAGAAATATCAATAATATTAGTTTTTTTAACACTTACATGAGAAGAAAAGATGGCTGGGCACACAGGGATGGGGGGTTGGTTCCGAGGCAGAGGGCAGATTAATTATTGGCCCTCACCTGTATCACTTGTATCAATTGTATCACTATCCACCACATAGGCTTGCAGGGCCTCTTTGTCAAACCCCTCAAAGTCCATATACTGTAAGTCCATATCCTCACTATCACTGACTTGGGCCGGCTGTGGTGGGTGGCGGGTGAAGAACTCGGTAATGTTTTGATGACTGGGCGACCTTGTGCGCACCCTGCCCGCGTATATGAGTAGATGCACCGCGTAAAGTGGGCATTCCGGTTCTGGCGGGGTACCGTGTAAATGTGGAAACGCGTAAACCGAGGTATTACTGTATGTATGTTGTGTTGTCAATAGTAAGAGAAACAATTGAGACCCTGCAATTGTGTGTAAATGAGGCAGAAAGTCAGGTCAGCAACCTGGGACTTGGTCATAATTTTTGTGATGCCATATGATGCTATTGAAACCCCAGTTGCTGGTTCATTAGAGATACTGTATATCCCTTAGGTAAATATTAAATTTTGAATTCTCACAAAATATAGTGCAAAAAAAAAGCTTACCTCTTAATTCATCTTCTCTCAATAATGGTGCTCAATAAAAAATATTAAGCAAATTCAAGTTTAGTAACAACTAAAATTTGTAAAGGAATTATTAAGAATATATGTCATGGAAAATATTATTGCAATAAACATACATGTTTTATTTTTTGGTACTGTGTATTTTAGCTATTAGGTGCTCACAAAATGAGTAACATTGTGAGAAATTAAGTTAAATATGGTAAAAACTTCCTGGGTAGGTGGTTCCCAGACCCCCGAGCTCAAAAGTTTATTTTAATTTATTTTTTTATATTTTCAAGACCTAATCACATCCGTGCATACTGTACAGGGTGTCTCATAGATTGCACACCACACTGTACGGGGTGTCTCATAGGTCATACACCATACTGTACAGGGTGTCTCATAGATTGCACACCACACTGTACGGGGTGTCTCATAGGTCATACACCATACTGTACAGGGTATAGGAAAATATGTAAATCAACAAAGATGAGAGACATTCACACGAGAGGTAAGAGTGATGTACAGATGCTATATTGAACAGTTGCAAAAGAATTCAGTGAACTACATCTATATGTCAAGGTGTTGTTGATTAAATTTGTTTGTGTCTTTAGCATTTGGCTTTTTGTACATGAATATTAAACTGGCTCTTTCCTCCACTGTTAGTTTATCTCCCATCTTCATTGACTTCTTGTGATTCCATCTTCTGAAATAAATAAAAATAAATAAAAATATTAATATGCCGATGGTATGTAACCTATGAAACACCTTTTGGGTTATGTAATATACTGTAATAAATTGTATTTTATCTCTCCCAAGGTACTATTTCCATTACTCGACAAAGTGAGACAGTTGTCAGATTCTGCAAGTACCGACAAGGTGGACCAAGGAGGCAACATACTTATTCATCATTCTCGAAACACACAACAAAAGCAGTGGGCTGAGACACAGGTACTGTATAAGGTTGGCATGTTGGTACATACATATAATATAGACAGTCTCCCATTTATAAGAGTGTTTCATTCCTGAAAACCTTTCGTAAATAGGGTTCGGTTCCTCAGTCACAAGAAAACCTCCATATCATACCCCCTAAAACATGAAATCAGTTCATGAACAACAAAAAAACCTACCTAACGAATGATAATTAGTACACAACTACTGTAATTTACTACCTAACATTAAAAACATTAATAAACTGGTACTATCTAGATGAAAATATGCAGCTAAAACCTTTAAGGATAAACTAAATCAAAGTTTAATGCAACTGCATTTGCATAGATGCTGACTGTGTTACCCATGGCTGCCCTCAAAACTTGCCATAGCAACCCAGCCTGGCTAGGGATGCTTCCTCTCCTTACCCTTCGTATTGCTCCATCACCCACTTTCACACACACACAAATGTTTATTCCCTTTATGTTTTTGACCTTTTATAGTTATTTCTTTTACGTTTTTTGCACATTCTGTATGTAGGATTGTGTGCATGTAACTAAATAAAAAGAATATGAAGAAAGTTATGTTTATCTACCCAAAATTTTAATAACCATAATATCACTCCTACCTCAGCCTGGTAGAAAAAATGCATAACTTCTACCTGAACCTGATAGATAGAATTTTAGGGGGATGTGGCCACCACAGTCAACTCTCAGGGGTGTGTGATTTAAATTTTTGCTGGAACCCAAATTCGTATAAGAGATGGTAATTTAGGAAATTTGTTTGAGCGAATATTTGTACAACATCTCGAATGGTCATGCGAAGGATACTAACCTAGTTTTCCTGTGAACCATGATAACTAAATCACTACTGTATATGTATTTTGTTTTAGTTTAGCTGACCACTCTTAATACACTCACTAGGTACTGGTATGTACAGTATGGGAAGCCCTTCGAGGCCTGTGTCACCACCTTAGCTTCTTCCAGTGATGGGAAAATGATTGCAACTTAACTATTTTGTCTATGAATTGGGACCTGGGACAAAGTTTCTTTCTTCATAAATTTGTATTTTTGTAAACTGGATCTTTATAAATTGGGGACTGCCTATACACAAGGTTTCTGAACATTAATTATATTATAAATGTTTTCTTCCTGTTTTTATCATCTGATGCCCAGTTTTGTGTGATGACTTCCTTTCTTTAAGGTTGATTTTGTGTGGAATATTTCTTAAAATATCCAGTTTGTTTTTATGAGTTGTAAGTTTGGTGGAATACATTGATATCTCCGTTAGCAGGAACAATTAGTGCAGAGCACTTCCAGGAATGAGAGATTTCCGGGTAACAAGACAAATCTCTCAAAGCCGGAAAAAATCCCTCATCCCCAGAATTTTCCAGGTAACAGAAAAATTTTCTCGGAAGTTCCAGAAAGTGCACATTACATCATCTCTCAAAGTTGGAAAAGATCCCTCATCTCTGTAATTTTCTGGGTAATGGCAAAAAGTTCTTGGAAGTTTCAGAAATTGTGCATTACGTCATCTCTCAAACTCGGAAAATATCTCCCATCCCCGGAATTTTCCGGGTACCGGAAAATTTTCTTGTAATTTCCGTAAAATGTGGCCCCCCAAAAATCATTCCCAAAGCCGGAATTTTCCAGGAAATTCCGGCTTTGGGAACGATTTTCCGAGGAAATTTCATTTCCGGCTATCGGAGAGTTCTGGTTTAGAGGGATTCTGGCTAACGTAGATATTACTACTTCAAACATAGATACAGTAGTAAACCAGCTCATGTCAGCCAGAAACAGTGTGAAGGCGTGTAATACCCGGTACTTTAGACTGTTCCACATGTCTTTCTCAATAAAGGAAGTTATGAGGGAACAAAGTCTTCTATTTATTTTCCTGAAGCTCAGAACATTACTTAAAGGACCATTTATTCTTCATTGACCACATCACCATCATAGTCTTGCTCCTCTCCATGACCCAGAACCTTTTAAAGGCTGCAGTCATCAGCCAAGTGAGCCTTGGCGTCTGTTGCACTGTTTCTGTACTTCATCCCCTTGAGAGTTATGGTCTAATTTTGCCTTAAATAAATCAAGCATAGGTTATATTGTGTTTTCTCTTGTCTCCTGAAACCTCTCAAAAGCCTTATCATCAAAATCCTGATCACAGATATTGGACCTAATTTTATCTATTTTGAGTACAGTTTCCTGTATAACTCTGGTTCATGTATGTTAACTCTCATCATTTGCTTGCTTGGATGCTTCTTCACATTATGAAGCATATTTTACACAATATACAGTGTGTTCTTGAAGCTTGGATGCCTCTCTGCATGCTAATGTTATAATTTTCCCATAAATCTCTTTAGTTTTTAGTATTTTCTCACTTATCATAGCAGGGAAGGAGTGACTGTGAACAGATTATGTATGCAGTATTTTGTACAGGACCTTAATTTATTAAGTGGTGGAGTGGCAAATTGTGAATTGAAAATCAGATAGACTCTACAGGTAGTTCTGCTATAACGATAATTGTGTTCTTGTAAAATATCGTGTTATAGAAAATCGCGTAATAGAAATAACAGGGCTTATGGAGAAAATAGGGTTAGGTGCAGATTACTCGAAATCGAAAAAATTTAGTAGTTAGCCTAACACAAAGGATAGCACAGTCTAAATAAATGTTACATTCATATCTAATAATGAAATCATACAGTAAATTTAACACTTTACCTTGAAAAAATATGAATGTAACTTGATGGGGGAGAAGGGTGATTTTGAGGTTGATAACATCAGCTTCTCTTCAAGTGTTATATCCTTTCTTTTACGATAATCACCGGGAATTCTATCATCAGAACGCTTTTTGGAGATATTCTTCTTTACCATATTCACAGTTAATACCACAAAATTGGAGAAATAGTAAGCAAAAATCGCGTTATAGCAAACAAGCGTCGCGTTATACAAATATTGTTCCGAATTCATAAATCGCGTTAGAGCAAATTCGCGTTATCAAAACACGCGTTATAGCAGAACTCACTGTACTGTATTATATTTGTTGTGAAAACAGTCCTGACCAAATTGTAATTGAAATCATCAAGAAACAAAGCCATTTTAAAAAGTACTGATTCGTAATCTTGTGAGGCTTAATAAATATCTTGGGGGGGGGGGTAAATTTGTTTGATAAAATGGAAAAATTCAGTAATGAGTCAATGTGATGCAACATGTTCATCATCCTATTTTAGGAAACATTACAAGGGACACTGTAGGATAACTGGAAGGATTGACTGATGACGAGTGGTAATTATGGGTCAGATTTACAAGTTCTGTTGGTAAGTACAGTACAGTAGATAATTATTAAACAAGTATATGTGCATATAGGTTGTTTTAACTGATATCTCATTCAAAAAGTTTGGGCTGTAAAGGTAAATTTATTTATAGGTTCTGACGCTATCAGGTGTTGCTCGAGTGTTTAGTACAAAGCAGAAGATCCTCCAAGGTCTGGGGGACTTTCCTCGAGCATGGGCTCTTCTTCTGGATTTTATTCACACTGCTGCCCTCTCCAAAAGTAATGAAGTAAGTGTACCTTTCTTTTTGTGTACCTGGCTGTAGGTGAATTTCATTATCCTGTATATCTACCTGGCTGAAGACGAGAATATTTTGTAGTAGTCCCACATCACTTATCTAGTGTGTGTGTTGCATGAAATGTTGTGTGTTTCCCATTCGTAAGTGCCACTTCATCTGATCCAAAATCACTGAATGATGTGATGTAAAAGTTGACTATCAGGTCTTGAGAGTCTTATTGATAGGAGTTGTCACAATGTGTTTATGAAGTGAAGACACAAAAGATTTGGAAATAAGGTGATATATAGATGCTGACAAAGCCTAAAGCCTAGTGCAGTATGGGATGTTTTTTTGCTGCCCAGTCTATTTTCTATGCAATGCCCAGATTGTACAATCAGTTGCCTGCATCCATGAAACAGCCGACTTCTGTGGGGCCTTGAAAAATCCACTTAAGACCTTTTTTTTTTTTTTTTTTTTTTTTAAGTTTATGATCCTGAAGAAGGTAGTGATGGAGATTTACCGGGTTTAGGAAATGTTGCAACTTAAGGATATACAAACTGTCACTTTATGTGGATTTTTTTTCTCAGGTCCTTGACTGAGTAGTATTTCTAGCACTAGTGATTTATTTAGAAGAACTGCCACTTTTGAGAAAAAACTCCACCTGTTATTATTATTAGATAATATCTGAGTAAGAGGAACAGGAATAGGTACGGAAAGTATATTGGGGACAATGAAGAGACTAATTGAGAGAATATGTGTGTTAGAAGAATATATCTGGAGAAGTCTGCATGGGAATGGTTCGTTATACGGGATGAAGACCTATAGGACATAATATATTAATTATTTATATATATATACGTATACTACTTATTAGGTTGGGTTGATTAAGCAGTAAATGTAAATTCTTATACTAATTATTTTTATTTTTGCAGTGGATCACATAGTTAATTGTGGGAAAACTGTTGACTATATTTTTTAAACTTCATTGTGTATAATAGGACATTTCTTGAAAGTAGAAATATGTCAACCCAAATCTGTTTTCCCAAAGAGAATGCTCACTTGACAGTTACTGCATGCTCACTAAACACTTAAGTTTTGATGACAGGAGTACAATTATTCATTTAAAAAATCTGGAAGGAATAGAAAGTATTTATATTGTTCTTGCCACAGGTGTCATTAGCAGCTCTCAAGTCCCTGCAAGAGATGCTTCAGGCTGGGCGGTCATCTTCAATAGCCTCCTCCAGCTCTGTTGATGATCCAGGTTCTCCATCCCACTTACAGCCACCCATCCCTGAAGACTCCATTGCTAATTGGAACACAGCATGGAAGGTGAGGTTATCTACATGTAAAGAAGTTTAGATATTTTTAAATATGGGAAGATTACTTAGATTTGCTTGGAAAAATGACCATAAAACAATGATGATGATGATAAGAAAAGTGAGGCAGAGTTACCCTGTTTAGGACATGATGGGTTGAATAGTATTAGAGGGGAAGAATAAACAGTATATAATTAGGGAGGAGGAGAAGGTGTGACAGGTTGTAAGCAAGTTCAAAAGTGGATGGAATCATGGTTGAGATGGCCAAGATATGAGGTGGAATAGTGGTAAAATGATGAAGAAGAGTGTACAGGCTATATATGACTGAGAGAAGAGTACCAGAGGAATGGCAGAGAGTGTGTACATTTCTGCTGTAAAATGGTAAAGATAACAAGAATTAATGTAAAAATTTGATATATTTTAGTCATTGAAATAATTGTAACAAAAACGTAACATCTTGAGTTCAAAAGTGGAATAGGATGTGTGAGACTTTTGAAGGCCAAGTTTTGGAGTGATATAAGTTTTTTCTCGGGAATAGTGGTGTATGGACTGGGAGCCTTCAATTGTAACACTTTGGTAAGAGTTCAACTTCAGTACTTAAATGTGTTAGGGGGGAAGTAGTTTAGTATTACTCTTTTGAGGAGGGGGTGCCTACTGGGTACCTCTGACCTTCCAGTCTAGGTGGCTTCAGTATAGCATGGTTTGTCATTGACATCACACAGTTGTGGGCAGAGCTTCTGGACGACCAGGTGGTAGCAGTGCGGAACTCAAGCAAAGCACTGTTAACCTGTTACCCTCAGTAATAAATTCAAATAACCACTGCTACAATTATTGTCTTACTCATTTAAAAGACGTAGATCAAAATAACACCCCCCCCCTGTACACACACACACACACACACACACACACACACACTGGATCTCTAAACCAGTTTGTAAGATGACCTAAATTGGAGGAAGGTTTGTAAACTTTGTGGTGAGCAAAACAAGGATATCTCCGTTAGCCAGAACAATTGGAGCAAGAGCACTTCCAGATATAAGAGATTTCCTGGTAACCAGAAAACTTTCTCAAACCCGGAAAAATTCCTCATTCCCGGAATATTATCCGGTTACTGGGAAAAGTTTCCGATTGTTTAAATAAACATCTTGCACAGACATACACTATCCCACTTCCCCAGAATGCTTCTGGGGGCTAGGGAATGTTTTGCTCGAGTCTACCAGTCTGTAAATGCAGTTCTAATTAAGCTAGAAACTCCATTTCCTTACTATAATGCAGTAATGTCTCTGTTAGCCGAAATCCCTCAAACCCGAAACTCTTCGATAGTCAGAATTGAAATTTTCTTGGAAAATCGTTCCCAAAGCTAGAATTTTCCAGAAATGTAGGATCATTTGGTGCCAGGTTGATAAAATATTATCCTAAAAGAATCTGTTTTCCTGAAAAATGAATCCCACACTGAACACCATGAGTCATTTGTTTACAAAGAGCAAACAGCTGATTGGCTTACCACAACATCTGTGTTCAACACTTACCGGTCGTAAATTAGTACAATACAAACATATATTTATCATCACTTAATAAATACTGTTGTAGTATATATTTATCATTACTTAATAAGTAATATTGTAGTGTACAGTGTTATGTATCTGCATATACAGTACCTTGGTTTATTCATTAATCATTTGTCTAAGTGTACCAGTAGCCAAACTGAGTCATCATTTTAAGAAGGTATCTTTATATCAAATACTATACAGTGTGTTATAGTGACCCCTGTTGTAAACTGGTCTACTGAAAGCTCTCACACGTACACATCGTGAGTAAATAACCTTCTGATACAGCTTATCCTTTTATTTTCAAGTCATATTACAAATTACATACAGTATTGTATTTTTTCTGTATTACTGAAGATGTTATATTAATCATGATGAACCGTAAATCATAAGAGGCCAATCATATGAGAATATAATACTGAATCAATAAGCAATAAACCTGAGGAATGTGGCAACACTTGATCAGCCTCATCCTGCTTACACACTCAAGTGTCTTAGTTCTCAGTAGGCCGATAGCAAATATGATTAGACCATTGTACAATATTCAGTAAGTGTTGTTCATTTCATAAGATTTTAAATTTTTTTTATACTATCGTATTTCTGGTAACCAGAGCATCTCAGAGTCCGAAAACATCTAATTCCGATATACAGTACAGTGAACTCTCGAAGATCCGGACTAAAAGAGGGGGACCACTTGTCTGAAAAAGCCTATTGTCCGAATCTTCCGGCGAATGTACTAAATGTATACACACGACAAAAAATATATAAAAACACCAAAAATACAGTACATATTATCCTAACCAATGGGGTTAGTTATACACACTTTTTCCTGTGAAAATGCCATAATTTTGAGCAACATATTACTGTACTCACTTTGTATTCAAGTGTACTACACTAAAGGACTAAAATTTTTATCTCTTGTGAAAGCTATGTGATGTTTATACTCAAATTATTCCTTATCTTGCAAGGATTCCAACAATGTAAGTTATATTCTGCTAATTTTAGTCTAACATTTTATAAGATGAAAACTTTAAGCCTAAACTACCTTCACCCTGTTTTGGGAATGCTTCTTAGGGAGGCTTCTTAGCCCAGAACCCCCCAATTTTTTGTCCGAATCTTCCAAAACCCAGATTTACCGGGTGCGGATCTTCAGGTGTTTACTGTATTGAAGTCCGATTTATTGAGGTTTTACTGTACTCATCAGCAGACACTTCACTCAGCTGACTGTAATGGTTAACTGTAATCACAAGTTAACACTTGCGATGGAGGTTGGGTGGGAGATCAGTGGGTCATGTTACTGACCTGACCTGATGCAATATCAGGTCACCCATTGTTGGGTGTTGGGACTTGGGGATTAGTGGATCTTATGACCTGAAGATGTCTTAAAGAAAACGAATGGTAAGGTGTTCCAGTGTTTCCCACTCTGAATGTACAGTAAAGTATACGTAACTGTAAAATGTTTTTATGTTCTTAAAATTGCTTTAACACTGTATTCTTGCCTGATTTTATTCTGGTACAATAATGTACAGTACTGCACAACACGAATTGTACACAAAAACAGCAGCTAGCGAGGGAACAACCTTCTACAATGGCAGTAGAATATGAACTAAGCGATCAAAGCAGCTGGGCCACCCACGCGTCTGGCAAGTGGGGATGGGTTGGAGCATGATGCAGTCTTTAGGAATACCCTGAAAATTTATTCCCAGATTCAGAAATAAAAATTTGCTAATATTGTCCAGAATTTTTCTTGGAATTTTCAGAAAATGCACCTGATATTCAACCTCAGAATTTGTTCCTAAACTCAGAATTCAGATAATTTTCTGGAAAAATTCTGAGCAAATTTCATTTCCGGCTATTGGAGAGTTCCGGGTTTGAGGGATTCCCGCTAACGTAGATATTACCATTAAATTTTTAATTTCCAGTCACAAGTCATGACCTTGGTGTCTACCACATCATGTATTAAGGCATCATGTAAGATTACTAAACAAAATTGATTACCTCATTAGATGACTATACTTACTAAGTGATATTCTAATTATACTAATTTTTACCTGCATTCAGGATTTGGTGAGAAGTTACAGATGTCACCTGTTCCATTATTGTTGTATGTGTTCTCCTGTGTGGGTGTTTGGTATTTGAACCATGACTTAAGTTTCATGTTACATGAACTGATGTACAAGACATAAGGTGCCAAACCTCAGAGGATTGGATGTTCTTTAGTGATTTTAGAGTCAATGATCAATAGTTATTGTTATTTTTGTATAACCAGTCAAATGGTATGCTGTGAATTTTCGGCCATTTTTTCATAAGCAATAACTTTATTATACTTTTAAAAAAGAATGCCCCATACAGAGTTCTGCCAAACAGATATGTTGGTAAGTAGTGCTGCTTACATGAAGTAATGTGCAATAATATGGGTACAGAAATATTCAGACATTCATCATACTGACAGGTTTGGCACACCATTGGTACTGAAGTGACCAGGCCGCCTCCTGATGAAGTGACAAGAGGATCAGATGCATATATCCCCTCACAACCTTTCCTCACTGCCTTAGTTCACATATTCCCACACCTCTTCCAACATATCAAACCACGGTAAGTATGTTAATCATTATAATTATTAAGAGATGAACCCCAGGTAGCCCCTGTGACTTGGAAGCTGTCAAGTTAGATGCTACCTGATACAGGAGTTGCTTTGCATTATGTTACTCAACCATTTAAGGGGAAAAGTTTGGACATTTGTGGCATTTTCATCTTAATGGTATTTATCTTAAACATCTTACCCATTAAATATTTTGTCCATTCCAAGCTTCTTTTTGTTTGTCCTTTTTTTTTTAACTTTACCACACTTTCTCACCTTTAACTTGACATTTGTGGCTGTTCTTTATGATGTACTGAAGTAGCTAGCTTTGACTTTAAGCTTGCTGAAGTTCTACATGGTAATACATTGTGGGAAAACTCATCAATTGCATTCTCTTGTACACAATATGGAATTATCATAGAAGGCACCTTTAGACCCAAGTGAAGTCAGTGGTACAGTGGAGTCACAATAATTCATAAAATACAAATTCACATTCTTAAATTCATGGGTACCTTTATTACTACGCGTACCTCTTTTAAATTTTGCTGTCGAATATTCATAATTTGCAGCTGAGCACTTGCTCCCACAGTGTTTATTTACATAAGCTATGAAAGTGGTGGAAATATCATTTCAAAGTTCTACTGTGACTTAGAAATACAGAAAATATAATAGAAATGTACAAAATAAGAAAAATAGAAAGGTGGGAAATGAATTGTATGTGAGAGGCAGGGCAGTTGGGTAGTGGACTGAAGTCGGAAGGGCATTGAGCGCTCAGGAACGTGGGGGGGCCCACGTTCCTCTGACCTCATCAATACAACAGTATGCAATTTCACCATAATTCCTGTATTATTTAGTCATTTGGCTACCGGGTTAATAAAAAACTATCATAAAGTAATTGTAATAAGAAGTACTGTATACTCATTATTAAGATATAGTGAGTTCTGCTATAACGCGTGTTTTGACAACGCGAATTGGCTCTAACACGATTTATGAATAGAGGAACGATATTTGTATAACGCGAACGCTTGTTAGCTGTAACGCGATTTTGGCTTACTATTTCTCCAATTTTGTGGTATTAACTGTGAATATGGTAAAGAAGAATATCTCCAAGAAGCTATCTGTTGATCGCATTCCCGGTGATGATCGTAAAAGAAAGGCTATAACACTTGAAGAGAAGCTCGATGTTATCAACCTCAAAATCACCCTTCTCCCCCATCAAGTTATATTCATATTTCTTCACGGTAAAGTGTTACATTTACTGTATGATTTCATTATTAGATATGAATGTAACATTAATTTAGACTGTGCTAACCTTTGTGTTAGGCTAACTACTAAAATTTTTTCGATTTTGAGTAGTACTCTGCACCTAACCCTATTTTCTCCATAAATCCTGTTATTTCTATTACGCGAATTTCTATAACACGATGATTTACAAGAACACAACTATCGCGTTATAGCAGAACTGACTGTATAGTGAGAATTTATAGTGGGAGGGATTGCAAAGTGAGGAAAATTGTAGCATAGCCGCATTAGTGTTTATCAATAAAATATGGTCTTGGGGAAATATTTCAAACACACGGCTAAGCAGAAGTTATTTATTGGTTAACTGAATGAACACTGCTAATTATTACTCACGGGAAACATTGACAAGATCAATACATACTCTGTTGTTACTAGAGAATATATTGCACTATGGTTATCGCTGACAATTTTCCCCTGAACATAAAATATAAAAATGGATGTACAGTACAGTACTTCCAACTAAAATTTTTCCCTCCAGGACCACCACTCTACTGTATACCAATGGAATACTTAATTGTACCCTGTGGGGGGGACCTATCAAGATGGGGTTTTGGGGCCTGTCTAGCTAAGCTCACAGCTGCAACTCATTCTGGGTGGGAGAGTCCTCCCCCTTCCTTTGGGTTGAAACTCGGGTCTGAGTGTGACTCTTAACCCTCTCAGCCTCACACGACGCCATTGTGGCATCAAAGATAAAAGGCAAAAAAACTTCTACTCAGCTTCGCGACGCCAACGTGGCGACCAATGGGCTATATTTTCAAATAACTCAAATACTATTCAGTGAAATTGACTGAACTTTGGACGCCATTTGACAGATGTTGTTTTCTTTGCATGGGCCTTATTACCTTCCCCAAGACGGTCTTGGTCATCGTGTGCTTGGCAGTGCAGCATGAAGCCAGTGTCACTCTGGCCATTAGAGCGAGAGGAGGGTACGATGCGCTGCCCTTGAAATTATTCCATGAGTTTTTGTGTTGTATTATTTTTCCTTATGCAGGTTGTACCTCTCTAGTCCGGCATTCTGTGGTCCGGAACGATTTTAGTTTGTCCAATAGGTAGATAGGCAGCTTTTTTTTTTTTTTTTATATATCTGAATTATTATTATTATTATTATTATTATTATTATTATTATTATTATTATTATTATTATTATTATTATTATAGGAGTATTAAATTTTTGCCCTCAGGCCCCAATGTGGGTCAGTGACCTATGCCCGGGTGGGCTAATCCCCAAAAAAAAAAGCCGCCGGGAAATTAAGGTTTGTTTACATCCGGCAGTTCAGCTGCTCTCTCTCTCTCTCTCTGCTTGTCTATACAGAGTACAACATTTAACCCTTCAATATATACGAGCAGTAAATAAGTGTTGCTTTCATATTCTTATGTAGAGTAATGACGATATGTTTTCAAATGTGCACACTTACATACGCGCAGTCTCACTTTTTTTTCTTTACCATTAATGGTTAGCTACTTATATTGTTCCATTTATTAACATTAAATAACATTACTTCAAACAACCATATTAATTTTTTTACATTAATTTTACTACAGCTACAATCAGGGTCTTATTTTCTTCAGTTTTATATGTAGAACCAATCAATCACTGGTTTTGTAAGCATTAACGAAAACAATGCCGGCAGCCGTCTCGTCTCCTCGTGTGTTTTAATATTCCACGTATTATTAATGAATTGTATTGTTCATTTTGCACACACAAACATTAATTCAATAAAAAAAATTCAGAAACATTAATTAAAATATATATGAATGGTAAATAAGTGTTGCTTTCATATTCATATGTAGAGTAATGACGATATGTTTTCACATGTGCGCACTTACATATGCGATCTCTCTTTTTCTTTACCATTATCGTTAGCTACTTCTATTGTTCCATTTATTAACATTAAATAACATTACTTAAAACAACCATATTAATTTTACTACAGCTACAATCAGGTTCTTATTTTCTTCAGTTTTATATGTAGAACCAGTCAGTCACTGGTTTTGTAAACAACGAAAACAATGCTGTGTCATTTCCTCGTGTGTTTTAATATTCTACGTATTATTAATGAATTTCATTGCTCATTTTGCACACACAAACATTTATTGAATCAAAAAGACATTCAGTAATAAACAATAATGAATCTTTTGTACAAAGAGAAATGACACTGTTTACACGATTGTGCACGTCTGAGCGTTGGTGAGCCGTTCAAACCTGTCGAAATTCGAGTTTCCGCCTTCAAAATTTATAATTGTTTTTTTTTGTGTGTTCCAATAAAAAACGTTGAATTAAAAACTCGAAATTTGAGAAGCTACTGTATGACATTTAGCCCTTCAATATGTCTTCAAAGAGACCATGAAGCAGAGAAAGTGGTGCTAGTGCTTCCAAGCGTAAACACAAGTCACTATCTATCCAGGAAACTGGTGAATTTCCATGGTCCGGCAACAGTCAGGTCCCGAGGTTGCTGGACTAGAGAGGTACAACCTGTACCACGATATTCTACATGCTTTGTTCTTTACTTTGGTATATAGTACATGTCAATGAACTCCATAATACAAGCAAAATCTAAATGGAAATCAAGATGTTTCTAAACATTTTTCTACTTTTTCAACTTATGCTCGAAAAAGGGGGCTTAAATTTCAAGAATTTTTAATTTTTTTATGATTCAATACAATTTTTCAGACAATTTTATGCTAGAAGAGACTCCATTACAATTAATAAAACAAATTTCATGGCAGTGAAATGAGTCCTAAATTTTATTTTTGTTTTCAACGATTTTTCAGCAAAAACCTCTGAGGCTGAGGGTAAGTTTTCATGGACGTATGTGCCCCAGGCTCCGAGGCTGAGAGGGTTAATTGGGTATCACTGCGGCTGGACTCCATCTGAGAGCGGGCTACTTGTTGGAGGCAGTATTTATATTGTTTACCAGGGCCATAGGCCCATTACTTTTCATCATGATGAGGGTGGGGATAGAATGTCTCTTTGTGCTCGTGGTGCCTTTTGGTGGTGGGTACAAGTTACTGCAGGCATAGGCCTGCTGGGTGTGTCCCCTTCATTACAGCTGCAGGAGGGCAGTGTTAATTGTTTCTCGGAGTCATAGGGCCATTATTTTTCACAATAATGAGGTGTATGACTAGATTGTCCCTTTGTGTCTGCCCGGTGTGTCCTGTTTGTTACAGCTGCAGGAGGGCAGTGTTAATTGGTTTCTTGGTGCTATAAGCTCCATACTTCTACAAATATAAAGGCAACAAATGATTGCCCCTTTGTGTGGCGATTTGTGGTCGTTTATGGTGAGGTGTCCTGCCTATAGGCTGTATACTCACTCGTTACTGATGTACTGTATGTGTGCTGTTTATCGGGCTCGGACAGCTTTGGTCTGACAAAGTCATTTTCTACTTATTTTTCCTGAGGAAACAAAATCCCACACTCAACCCCAGGGGAGTTACTGTGTGGTATTAAATTCCTGGTTCATTCTTTACATAGCATGGTCACAACCAGCCCATCACCTGCCTGTCTGGATGTTGTTGTATTGGCATAACCCACAGAATGATTATGAGAAGGGAAAGAGCAGTTTATGTAATATAGAACTACTTTTTGTACCCAAGTGACATAGGTGATAAAGGTTCAGTTGAAGGACAACAGGTGAGTACAGTACGTAGTAGGAGTAGAAATAGATGCCCTGGCTGAACACAGCATGCCTGATTGTCGTACAATCTGTGTGTTACTGTATTTTGATATTTAGTGTTTATTATAGTTGTGTTTTGTGTATTTTTTGGCTTCTCGAACCAAACTAATTATTTTCATTTAAATCAATTAAATTATATATTATTATTGGAAAATATGCATCAAATTAAGGCTTTTTTTTTTTTTTTTGGCCATACATTTTTTATGCTGAGAAATTATGTGAAACTTATGCATGCTGTTAAAGAATGTATTGTATGGTTGACCCCAGGGTAAGTTTTAAGCAGTTAATGTTTTCCATCTTTCAGCTTTGTTGTCAGTGACTTCACTCGGTTGGCGTCTGTTTTACTGGGCTGTGTGTCAGTACCAGTACATGGAGACTCATCGCCCTTCATCCTCCCTTCCTTCACTGAAGTTGTTGTTACCCCTCTCCAGGAGGGCATATTACAAGCCTTAGCAGGTGTGGAGAAGGAGGTATGTACTGTACAATGTTCATACTTATTTTCACCCATTTCTCACTTGAGCACATGATGTTTAGAATCAAGAGTAATAATGACTTATTTGCTCTCTTTCATTTGCTCCAACTGCTGTAACATACGTTCTGCCATGGTGTTCACTATGCACCATGTGAGTAGTAAAGGTTTTATGCTTCATTAGGCTGATACTTACTCATTATAGATGCTTTATTCTTCTCGTTTAGGGTATCCCCATCATCTTTCTGCATCTTGTGTCACTGATAACTGTCAGGCACAAGTATCTACACTCATTTAATTATCACTTTGGCCTTGTACTTTAACTTTTATTATATTTGTAGATGTGGGAGCCATTCGGGCCTTAAATCTGAATATTATTGTTGGAAATTACTGATAATTGACCTTGTCAGAGATCATCTAGACATTGTGATAAAACACTACTGAGTTTGGTTAAAATCCACTGCTATTTGGTCAAGTTATCATGATTGCCAAGTCACACACACACACACACACACACACACACACACACACACACACACACACACACACACTGGGGAAGGTATGAATGTTAATAATTTTAATGAGATACATATAAATTACCGCAGTGCTAAGAGTGTTTATTTACAGGTAACGGAAGGTAATGGAACAACACGATCAATGGTCCCACAGTTGTTCACACTCCTCCTGCAGTTTTCCTCCTACAGTTGTCAAGCCCCAAGTTATGGCAATGTTCTTACAAGACCTCACACCACTAAGGGATCAGTAAGTGGCCAGTTTTCTTGTGTTACTATAACCTACAGTACATTGTTAGTTAGTCTTTTTAGGTTATTATACAGTAAGTCCACGCTTAACGTCGTCCTGCTTAACGTTGTTTCTGTATTACGTCGCTAAACTTTAGAGACCAAAAATTTGTTTAACGTCCCGGTGATCCGTTACTACGTCGTTTTGCGTCGTCACAGACTGCATTTTACGGTGCATCACCCGCTCTCGTCTGGCTGCACTATGCTCTCTCAACTTGGCGCAGAGTCTCAGTGACTTACCACCCTCCTCCACTCCCGCCATCCCCCTCCTCCACTCCCGCCATCCCCCTCCTCCACTTCACTACCCACCACACACTCGCTCTACCACCTCCGCCCATCTGTGAGTACCAATACAAACTTAGTAGTTGTATATGTATGCATCATTTTCTATAGAAATGGCAATGTTTTTCTGTATATGTAATGTATTTCATGGGGCAAAGGGAGGCTGGGGAACATAACTCCCGTATTTTATCTATTTCTTATGGGGAAAATTGATCTGCTTTACGTTGTTTCGTGTAACGTCTCATTTTTAGGAACGTAACCCCGATGTTAAGCGAGGACTTACTGTAAAAGAGATCTGTACACATGCACATTCCCTTATTCTTTTTATTGTGTTGACATTCTCTGAAAATGTTACATCCCACACTATACTTAAGCTTGCATTTGATTCATAAAATTATTACTAAAAAGTAGTTGTCTATTGCGGCACTTAGAAGCAGAGGTGTAGTGCTGTGGGAACGGCGTTCCCTTACTTTTTTTTTTGGTAGGCGGAACAGCATTCCCTCACTATTTCAAATAAATCCGAACTTACAAATCTCTAACGTCATGAAATTTTAATTCCCACCCCTAGAAGAAATATGAGAAGTAATTATTAACTGTTTCTTTTCTCTTAGCTTCAACTGAGGCAGTGCTAGCTTATATTATGGACATACATGTATATGATTTGTTGCCTACAAAAATGTCAGTTGGTAAACAAGTTGAAAGGGCTGGGAACAAACCTCTGATCTAAACATTCACCATCTAATTACAATTCAAACCCACTGTTGTGTTGCCTACTCCACCCATGTGCTGATGTGTGTAGTGTAAGAGGTGTTAGCCTATTGAATAGCATACATCTGGTGAAAAAGTTACCATGGTGCACCAGTTGTTAACTTTTTTTAGTTATCCATTCCAATTGATATATATTTTTGTTGACCGTACTGGATGTTATATATCTAATAAAATGACACTGGAAATATTGCATCGTCTACCTTGGAATATATCCTAATATCCAGTGCATATGGCCTCAAAATATCCTTGAATTGGTCAGATTTAAAAAATTATTCCTTGGGGCTCACAGCGCCCTAGGACCCCCAGCTGTATGGACTCGCTGCGCTCGCCATTGTTCTGCCCGCTTCTAAGTAACACTTTAAAAATGCATTCCCACACTTCTTTATTTAGCACTACACTATTGCTTAGAAGTATGAATTAATTTACGTATAGGGTGTCCCACCAATAACAAAACAATAAACAGTACTGTATTTCATAAACTATCACAGGTAGAATCTTGTGGTTTTCACTAATAGATGCAGAGACTCACCAAGTTTTCCTCTCATGGTTTAATTTCTCGTGCCTCTGCCTTCCCGCCCACCTCATTGTGCAGTTATCTGGCAGAGTGGCAGCAGGGCACCATTCACAGTGCAACAGAAAGTGCAGTGTTGTTTTGAGTTGGCTGGATTCAAGTTTCCAGTTACTTTGCAAAGGAAATTCAGGAGAGAATACAGTCAGGATTCACCACAGTGACACGGCATAAGCAGTTAATGGAACTGTTGAGAAAGAAAGGAAGTGGTAACTGGGAAGTGGATGGTATGTTGCTGTGGTAGATCCTGACCATATTCCCTCCTGAATTTCCTTTGCACAGAAACTGGAAACCTGAATTCAGCCAACCGAAAACAACAATGCACTTTCTTTTGCACTGCAAATAGCATCATGTTGCCACTTTGCCAGCTGACTACACACAGAGGCAGACAGGAAGGCAGAGGCACGAAAAATTGAACCATAAAAGGGAAAATTTGGTGAGTTTCTTCATCTATTAGTGAAAAATCACACATTTCTATCTGTTAGTTTATGAAATATATCATTTTGTTATTGGTAGGAATTCTGGTGTACACCCTGCATATTATTAGATTTTATTTATAAGTTGTATCAGTATTAAAAGTTGAGGTCACTTGTATAAGTAGAGTGAGAAGAGGTTGGTGTTTTTGGCATATAGATACTATTACAGCAAGAAAAAATAATTACTGTGATGTCCCCAAACCAGGACTCGTTTCAATAAAGAATGTAGATCTGACATAAAGTAGTTTGTAGCTCTGACATATTTTGTATGAGTTCTACCCAATAAAGAGCTACACAAATCACTCTACAGTGGACCTCAACATTTCCAGGGATAATGTTCCTAAAAATCGATGTGATTATCATAACTGTCAATATTAATGCAGTGATATCCCCGTTAGCTGGAACAATTGGTGCAGAGCACTTCCGGGGATGAGAGATTTCCGGATAACAAGACGACTTTCTCAAACCCGGAAAAAATTCCTTATCCCAAAAACCTTTTCCGGTTACTGGGAAAAGCTTCCGAGTGTCTAAAGTGGACCTCTTGCACAGACACACACTAGCCCACTTTCCCAGAACGTTTCTGGGTGCTTGAGATGTTTTCCTCGAGTCGAATCTACTGGAATCCGTAAATATATTTCCAATTAAGTTAAAAACTTCATTTCTTTACTAAAATAATCCAGAATAGTTTATCTAAGAGCTTGATAAAATAAATATATTTAAAAATAAAAAATCGATATTATATGGGCAAGATTGAAGCTGTGTGTTACAGCAAAGACTTATTTTCAACTCCCATGGAGCCAGGGCCGGATTAAGGCCAATTGATGCCCTAAGCACAGCCCAACAATGGTGCCCCCTCGGCCCTCCCATTGCTTAACTGACAAGATATTAAGACCATGATTAAGACTCAATGAATACTGATGTTGAAATATAAGATAAAAAATTCAGGTTTCTTCCAGGCCACCCCACAAGCCAGATCCTACAATTTTCTCATCACTGATGTTAGACTAGAACCAGAACAAATACAGTTAAAGACAATTAAGAAATAAAAACAAAGAGTTGAAGTTTTTCAACATTTGATAATTATAAAAATCATTTAAATTAGACAGTTTTGATTTAACCTTATTTATTATAACAACTAGGCCTAGAGTTACTGCTCTTAATTTAGTAACACAATATATTTATATAGTTAAAATATCTACCTCTTTATTTTGTAAATATAAAGGAATTTAATATAATGAGAAATTCAGAAACTTACTTGTTACTTCACACAATCCACCTCATACCACACGTTAAAATAGACACATTTCGTTGATACTGCAAGAGCCTGAGTGAGGGCTGAGAAGCGAGGGAGCGAACTTAGACAATTTCAGACGTTCAGGAACATTCTTGAACGTGTATAAAATAAAGCCGTTTTCCATTGGGCAACGTGTCCTTTAAAAAAAAAAAGGAGCACAGTTTTCTTGGTTTAAAACCCTTACAAAACATAGTTAACGAACAAAATGGGATAAATATTTTTCACCAATTTTATACGGCGGTTTTACACTAGCCTATTAGGTTTTATCGCAAATATGATCTGGTCACTACAAGGCATAATACCTTCAAAAGAAAAACCTGTGGTGCCCCCTTCTTTTGGTGCCCTAAGCACATGCTTATTTTGCTTAATGGTTAATCCAGTCCTGCATGGAGCTGTGGGGGATTAGTGGGTCTCGTGTAACTGATCTGACCTGATGCAATGTCAGGTGGAGGTAGGATGGGGGATTATTAGTCGCATATTACTGACATGATGGAATGTCAGGTCACCCTTTTTTGGGTGGAGGAATAGTAGGTCTCATGACCTGAAGATGTCTTGAATAAACACGAAACCTTAAGTATTTTTAGGGAGATTGTGATAATTATAAGTGTAAATGAGCAAAGTTGTATCCCTTCAACATTTCGTTACAGAACATTTTAAAATATGGAGTGAGAAAGCAGAAAGGTGCGGGTAATTGGAGAGATGGAGTGGAAATGAGTGTTGCCAAGCGCTCCTCAAAAGCTGATATTTAACTTTCTACCATGCAGTCACACACATGCAGATGTGAGTGGTGTTGGGGTGTGTGTGTGGTTGTTGAAGGGTGTGTTTGTGTGTGATGTAGAGGTGTATGTGTGATGTGTGGGTGGTGCTGGTGTTTGCTGTTGGAAGTGAACCTTTTTGGGGGGTAGGGTCAGGTTGTCAGCCCCCTCCCCTCCCCCTTCCTCACTCAAGCGTGGCTAATTGTGATACGGAGATGAATTTGATACCATAATGATCCTTCATAAATTCTCTATGAAACTTTCCAATAAGCTATCCTTAAACGAAATATTTCTATATGATTTAGTGATGGGAATTCCATTCTTTTAATAAAAAAAAAAGAATAAGAAATGTTGATACAGGAGTCAGTAAAATCAGTTCTAATTTCGTTAGACATACCATTTTTTATCAAAATAATCCTGAATACTTTATCTAAAAGTTTGGTTAAATAAATATATTTAAAAAACAAAAGCTCAATATGATACGGGCGTGAATAGAGCTGTGTTACTTTTATCCTCTTCACCACTGATCGGCTCGTTAGTCGCTTGGGTGATCAGTCACATCTCTGTTACACACTGTTGGCAAGTGTTCTTGTGTACTGTATATATTGTACTAAAGCAGATTCTGTCATCTTTAGCCTAAAATAAGCAGACACTTCACTCAATTGACTGTAATACATAGCTAATCATGTCTTAACACTTGTGATGAAGTTGGGTGGGAGATTATTGGGTCTTGTTACTAACCTGACCTGATGCAATGTCAGGTCACCCATTGTTGGGTGGGGGTTTAGTGGGTCTTATGACATGAAGATGTCTTGAATGACATTTATTACCTATGAGGTATATACATAGTACTGTACTGTATTGTATATGAAGGGTACAGGTATTAATAAGTACAGATTATTACAGTAATGTATCTTTACTAATTAATGAAAAACAAATAAACAATATTGTATCATGAATGAGTCAGTACATTAGACAAACCTTGAGACGACCCTTTGGGGGAGGGGGTGGCGCAGTCACTTTTACCCCCCAATAGATCCTTCTCCCTCTTCCTAGTTCACAACAAATGGAGGGCAGATTAACGCTTGCTCAAGGATTTTGAAAGGAGAGTTCCGGGTTTGAGGAATTCCGGCTACCGGAGATATTACTGTACTTGAACCTTATGGGAAAAATGGGGTTAAGGACTACACCGACGGTGAAGTAGGGGAAGACTGAAAATAAGTAGAAGGCAGTAAATAGATACTGCATAGTGTATAGTAATGATGAAAAACTCTCATTAGTTGCTCATGATTGGTTGCAGGAAAGGAAGATCTTGTAATTCTATGTACAGGTAATCTTCTTCCAGACTGACTGGGTGACAATGAACTTTGTGCCATTTGCTGAGAGATCAATGTCTATGGTGGTGTCTCTCTACCAGAAAACTTCCAACTGGGAGGAAGTTATAGAGGCACAGGTGTTGAAGAATATTATCCAGGTGAGATCTGTTATTGGTTTGATGGAATGGAGAGAAGAAATGATCATAAAACTACAGTACAGTAGTGTGTTAATTTTAGATATATGTCTTGACAGGCTTCTGGTCCCTAATTTACTGTACACTTATTGTCATATAAAAAGGGTTAATTTTTAATTAATTCTACTCATTCTTATGATATTCTCATTATTGATTTGTGGAGATAAACTCTGCAAAAGTTGATCATTAGCGTTGTCACCTGAAATTTGTTGCCTGTGTACAAGATTTTGAAAGCAAAATTCTCATTTTAAATCCATATTAATGACTCCTCATAAACCTCAGGCCACTATAACACCCCTACGTCTGAAATATCGGTGTCCGGCTCAGACAACTTGGAAGTTAGTCATCACAACACTACTGACGGTGCTACAGGAGGGGCTACAGCTGGCCCGAGAATATCCTGTTCACTTTAGAGAAATGTGGCCAATTTTAGGCACGGCTCTGGACAGTTTTCTGTTTTCAAACAGGTAAAGTAAACCTTGATCATATTGTAGCTGTGAGTGTCATGGCTTGTTATTTCATGGTAAACTAATGAAGAAATGTGTTTTTGTATTGCTGCTTGGTGCTTGAACTCTTACACTTTTGTACATGTATGTGGAAGACCTGTGAAGCCAGTGTGTACAGTATTTCATTAATGATTTTGATATACTGCAGTCTACTTTTAATTTAAAAGCAAATAAGAAAGATATTTATTATCATCTCATCATTTCTACAATATCTCACACCTTCAGGGAATTCCCCCATTTGATGGGTTGGCCATGACTGAAGAGCTTCCAGGCTGCCCTATCACCACACACCTCCTTTGCCTTTTTTATTCTCTATATCTCCATAGTCCAACTCTCTTCTCCACCCTTTGAACCCATGATATAGTTTGTCTCACTCTACTCTATGCACCTATTAAATTACCCATGTTCACTTTCTTTGCTATCCTCTCCTACGTCCTTCTCATATATTCATACCATCTCAGGCAGCTTCTATTTACTCATTCCACCACTATAGTTTATACTTCCTGTCTTTTCTGGCATACTAAACATCCAATAGACTTCCCAAAGTCATTCCCCGTCAATTCCTGTAAACCCAGATGCAGCCCTCAGGTAATTCATCTCTTTGGCTTGAATTATAACATTCTGGTCAATTCCAAGCCCAAGTTTTACTGCCATAAGGTAGGAAGCATTAAACTACAGCTGAGTTCCTTCTTAACCTCCATGTTTACATTTCTTCCCTTCATTATATTCACATTCTCTATTGCTCCAGTCCTGTTCCTGTTCTCTCTCACTCCGCAAAAAACATCTGCATTGAGACCTGTTGAAATTACCAGTGGCCTCACCTACTCCCAGCTCAACATTCTTTCTGTCTGTCACTCTTCTTCTCATTTCCTTTAACACTCCATCAGTGTATACAGCAGGGTCTCTGAATACACATATCCATAGTATGCTACCTCGCTTATACGAGGTCTGACGACTAAGTTCGCGAATTAGCTGCGTGTCTCAACAGGCAGCAGCACTGTAATGAGTGTGAGTAGCGTGCGTGTGACCTTGATCCCTTCTCTTACTACCCCAGGTGTGTCATCGATCTCAAGCGAGTCGGACTTGTGCAGTGGCAGCCATTGTATTAGTGTTTTCTGGTGTTGTCGCAATGATGACAGATATTGTTTTAAAACAAAGAATGGATATCAAGTTTCTCGTGAAACTGGGAAAAACTGGGCCTGAAATTCGGGACATGTTAACCAAAGTTTATGATGTAAGAGTCGGTTTTTCTTACTTCAGATTTATTCTATTTATATTCTTTTCTATACTTATGTTCTTATATTCTTCTATTCTTAGTCTTTCTCTATATAAATATATATCTTATATTTCTTTGCTTATATTTTCTAAGTCAATATTCTTTTCTTTACTTCATTTCTTCTTTCATGTACAGTATATTACTGTACAGTGGTCCCTCGGTTAACGAGCACAATCCGTTCCAGCATGTTGCTCGTTAACCGAAAAACTCGTAAACCGAAACCATTGTTTCAATGGGTTTTTGGGTAATTGGTTCCAGTTCACAGAAAATTGCCTAAATTCAATAAAAAATGTAGAAAAGTACACTTACTTTGAGGTGTGTATGTAGAAGGCTCCTGGATGATGATGATGATGATGGGAATTAGAATGGGGATGTAGGAGAAGGGAGAAGAGAAGGCATTGGGGTGGAAGAGAAGTCACCCCATGGCACCATTTCACCCATAAAATTTTAGTTCTCTTGGTGTAATTCAAGATTCTTTTCTTTAAATCAACACTGCACTGCATTATATTTTGTCAATATGTAAAATAAATTTCAAAATGACCAATAATTTGCTTGGAAACACAGAAAAAAAGCATTTAGTTGAAGAGAGTCTCAAGCAATATATTACCTCCACTGAAAAGAGAGAGAGACTAACGCCTGTTTGTGTGTTAAGAAGGCTGGATGGCACGCCAGAAACTAGTTTCTTTACCTTCAATTATGTTCAATAATTGTTAAAATGACTAAAAAATATTAATATTAAACTTTTAAAATTATTGAATAGTATAAACTTCTTGATATTTACTAAAATAGTAAGGAATTTAAGCCCTAAAACCGATTACTGTATTGGCAGACTGATACTACAGCTGGTGGACCGCCAAATGCAAGCGAAAACATGTTGAGGTCGGCTTGTAAAAAAACTCGTTAATCGAGGGATTGCTCGTTAACCGAAGTTAAGAATCGTATGGAAGGTAAATCGTTAACCGAAATCTCGTTAACCGAGGCGCTCGTTAACCGAGGGATCACTGTATTGTATTTTTCTGAATTTTATGTCCGTACTTTCTCTCAATTATATCCTGTTTTATGTTATATTCTAAACCATGGATTAGTTTTGGAAACCATCTCATTCTTTCTATAACACTTATTGTACTTACAACGGTAGCCTGCCACCACCCAAACTTTTATTAGAATATAACATATCTTAGTGAACTGTTAGGTAGCGTGCTAGTGAGCTTCTAGGCACGTGAGTTACAATAGCTATTTTCTGAGAACCAATGGGTAGAAGGAATAGAGCGGTGATACTCGTAGTTTACTAATTTAATATTTATTAATACAGTCAACCCTCACTTTACGCGGTCCCACATTCCGCGTTTCCACGTTTACGCGGTACCCTGCCGAAACAGGAATGCTCACATTCCGCGGTGCGTGTACCCTTTTACGCGGAGAGTGGCTGGCGAGCCGCGCCATTTTTGGATCCAAACCTCCCGCCATCTCCCGCCATCTCCCGCCATCCGCCATGTTGTGTAAGCGGCGCGAGCATGGTGCGCACAAGGTCGCCCAGTCATCAAAACATTACCGAGTTCTTCACCCGCCACCCACCACAGCCGGCCCAAGTCAGTGATAGTGATAATTATAGTGAGGATATGGACTTATATGGACTTTGAGGGGTTTGACAAAGAGGCCCTGCAAGCCTCTGTGGTGGATAGTGATACAATTGATACAAGTGATGGGGGGCCAATAATCTGCCCTCTGCCTCGGAACCAACCCCCCATCCCCGTGTGCCCAGCCATCTTTTCTACTAATGTAAGTGTTAAAAAACCTAATATTATTGATATTTCTCTTAATTATTAATTGTGTGTGCATACCATCATAAAGTTAAGATAATATTTTTACTACAACATAGTTGTGTGTTGTCAAAAAGTGGAGTTTGGGGGTCGGCCCAGTCTCTATTTCAATTAATCCCATATGTTATGATGTTCACTTTACGCGTTTCTCACTTTCCGCGGTACCCTGTGGGTTGAATTAACCGCGTAAAGTGAGGCTTGACTGTATATTATTTTTTGAAAACTGTGAATACAGGAAGAAAATACACCAAAAAATTTTCCTAAATAATCCCTGCTAAGATGGGGGGGAGCATCTTATATGGCCATGTGTCTTATATACTGGTATTTACCCCAGCCATATGCTCCTATACTCACTGAATGCACTTAAGTTAAATGCGTGTAAGATGTGACGCGACTGTACTGTACTTTGAGAAGCTGCGTGTTGGTTACTTTAATAAAAACAGGGGGGAATTATATGTATATATACATAGGGGTCCCTGAATATATGCGAATTCACACTTACGCTGGGATCTCGGGAACATAACCCTCGTGTACTCTGAGACCCTACTGTATGTTTGGTGGCCACGTGTATAGGAAGTTATTCATAAGTAACACAAGTATATATGTTTTCTCAATAGCCCACCACCAGCAAATCAGAGCAGTGAAGATGCAGAGAGAGACGAGAACATCGACTGTCAGGTGGTCGAGTTGATACGAGAGGAGATTCTGCCGTATGCTTCTGCCACACCAAGTGACTTTATAGTGTCCATTATGGTGCTTCTGAATAAGGGTTCCATAGAGTCTGCATCTGGCACTGATTCTGGTAAGAACACAGAAATGTAGACAATCTTTTAGTGTTAATAAATTATTCTGGGAATCTAATGCAAGATTATGAAATCTGTGGAAAGACAAACAGTATACAATACAGTATCAGGAAAGTTGAAGTGAATGCCTTACACCCAAAAGTGAGTTTCATTGATGTTTTGTCAGAGCACATGATAGCTGGTGAACCATTGTAACTTTTGCTATGAACACAGATTATTGTAAATATAACTATGAAATTTGTCTCATCAAAACTGTTGTTTTGAATATAGTCCTTAGTTTGCTTTAATGGCTTATTCTGTCACATGTAATTAGATTTAGGAGTCATCCATAATTAGTGCAGTTTTAAATGAATTACTGTACTTACTTGCAGAGTGTGAAGGATTCAAGTTGCGAGAGGAGTTTGCTAAGACGTGTTTTGAGACTCTTCTTCAGTTCTCCCTCCTCACACAGACAGATTTTGATCCCAACCTTGACAATTCAGGTATGTACTCTTGGTAATGTGCAAGGAAGACTGGGGAGTTTTTAATAGTGGAACCTTGATTCAGTGGGGGTAGATCCCAGTCCCAAAAAAGCAAATCTATGAGGAGGGTGGGTGGAGATAACACTGCATATCTGAACTGTTTAAAGATAATCTGTTATTATTTTATTACTGCACTGTAACATCAAAGATAATCTGTTGTTATGTTATTACTGCACTATAACATCAAAGATAATCTGTTATGTTATTACTGCACTATAACATCAAAGATAATCTGTTATGTTATTACTGCACTATAACATCAAAGATAATCTGTTATGTTATTACTGCACAATAACATCAAAGATAATCTGTTATGTTATTACTGCTGCACTATAACATCAAAGATAATCTGTTGTTATGTTATTACTGCACTATAACATCAAAGATAATCTGTGTTATGTTATTACTGCACTATAACATCAAAGATAATCTGATGTTATGTTATAACTGCACTATAACATCAAAGATAATCTGTTGTTATGTTATTACTGCACTATAACATCAAAGATAATCTGATGTTATGTTATTACTGCACTATAACATCAAAGATAACCTGTTGTTATGTTATTACTGCACTATAACATCAAAGATAATCTGATGTTATGTTATAACTGCACTATAACATCAAAGATAATCTGTTGTTATGTTATTACTGCACTATAACATCAAAGATCATCTGTTGTTATGTTATTACTGCACTATAACATCAAAGATAATCTGATGTTATGTTATTACTGCACTGTAACATCAAAGATAATCTGTTGTTATGTTATTACTGCACTATAACATCAAAGATAATCTGATGTTATGTTATTACTGCACTATAACATCAAAGATAATCTGTTATGTTATTACTGCACTATAACATCAAAGATAATCTGTTGTTATGTTATTACTGCACTATAACTTCAAAGATAATCTGATGTTATGTTATTACTGCACTATAACACCAAAGATAATCTGTTATGTTATTACTGCACTATAACATCAAAGATAATCTGTTGTTATGTTATTACTGCACTATAACACCAAAGATAATCTGTTATGTTATTACTGCACTATAACATCAAAGATAATCTGTTATGTTATTACTGCACTATAACATCAAAGATAATCTGTTGTTATGTTATTACTGCACTATAACACCAAAGATAATCTGTTATGTTATTACTGCACTGTAACATCAAAGATAATCTGTTGTTATGTTATAACTGCACTATAACATCAAAGATAATCTGTTGTTATGTTATTACTGCACTATAACATCAAAGATAATCTGTTGTTATGTTATTACTGCACTATAACATCAAAGATAATCTGTTGTTATGTTATTACTGCACTATAACATCAAAGATAATCTGTTATGTTATTACTGCACTATAACATCAAAGATAATCTGATGTTATGTTATAACTGCACTATAACATCAAAGATAATCTGTTGTTATGTTATTACTGCACTATAACATCAAAGATAATCTGTTATGTTATTACTGCACTATAACATCAAAGATAATCTGTTATGTTATTACTGCACTATAACATCAAAGATAATCTGTTGTTATGTTATTACTGCACTATAACATCAAAGATAATCTGTTATGTTATTACTGCACTATAACATCAAAGGTCTTTAAGTGTATATCAAGGTTATTAAAACACTATTACATCAACAATAAAAACATATGAAGCAACACTCTGGGTAGAAAATCTGACATAAGTCTGGTTGTCAACACGTGTTTTCACCGAGGTGATGGCTATTTACTGTAAAGTTTTTCATGTAAGTAGCCACCGAATTTGTTTTATGAATAAAGAGAAAACTGTACAGTATACTGTGCAGTACTATAAAGATTAAAATAAGAACAAATATGTGTAGGAGTATATTGTATGTGGTAGAACAGTACTATTGTAGTGTATTTATCATCACTTAATAAATACAGTACTATTGTAGTGTATTTATCATCACTTAATAAATACAGTACTATTGTAGTGTATTTATCATCACTTAATAAATACAGTATTATTGTAGTGTATTTATCATCACTTAATAAATACAGTACTATTGTAGTGTATTTATCATCTTTTAATAAATACAGTATTATTGTAGTATATGTATCATCACTTAATAAATACAGTACTATTGTAGTGTATTTATCATCACTTAATAAATACAGTACTATTGTAGTGTATTTATCATCACTGTATAAGTTCTGTTGTAGTATACAGTATTATGTATCTGCATATACAGTACCTTGGTTTATTCATTAATCAGTTGTCTAAGTGTACAAATACTTGTTATAGTGACCCCTGTTGCAAGCTGGTTTGCTGAAAGCTCTCACACGAACGCATCTTGAGTGGAATACCTTCCGATACAGCTTATCCTTTTATTTTCAAGTCATATTACAAATTACATATTGTATTTTTCTCTGTTACTGAAGATGTTATGTTAATCATGATGAACCATAAGAGGCCAATCATATGAGAATATAATACTGAATCAATAAATAAATAAACCTGACGAATGCGGCAACATCCGATCAGCCCCCATCCCCCAGCCTGCTTGCATACACAGTGTCTTAGTTCTCAGTAGGCCTATATGAATTCTCATTAGACCACTGTACAGTATTCAGTGAGCAAGTGTTGTTCTTTTCATAAGATTTTTGTTTTAATTTTTCCACTTTTCTTAAAATATGTAGAGTACCTTTTTTATAGTATTTCTGGTGACCAGAGCACCTCGGAGAGTCCAGTTAAAGCGAATTTTGATATATTGAAGTCCTATTTATCTAGATTTTACTGTGCTTACAGATTTTTTTTATAGTATTTCTAGTGAATAGAGGAGTGGTCCAGAGCACCTCAGAGTCCGAAAAAAGCAGATTCCAATATATTGAATTCCGATATACACTGTATTGAGGTTTTTCCTGTACAGTAGTTAGTGGTCTAATATATGCAGGGGTATGCTTGGGTTATCTTGTTTCACTGGCATTTGAAGACTTAGAAATAATTGATATATTAATTGTTTGGTGATATTTTGTGTACCATCCTACTTTGAGTGTAGAATAAGACCTCTCTTAGTTGGATTATATGTGGTTCAAGGCCGTCCGACTTTTCTAAAATTCTGACTTATGCGTAACTTCCCCCCCCTCCTCTTTAACAGTATACTTGTACACTGCACTTACTTTTATTGTAGCAAATGAATCTTGAGGTGGAGGACATTGAGAGGCTGCTTACATTTCCAATACCTGTATTCACACTTATATTGTGTTACTCTTTACATTTAGTTACACTTATTTCTAGTAAGCACTTAAATTTGGCTGATGTCATAAAAAGTCCTTCACTTTAACCCAGACTCCTCACTGATAACATTCATGGAGACCCCAGCATCAATTTTGTCTGATATCTTCAGTTTCTTTTCAATTGCTAGAGGTTTGAGCACCATTCCTTTTCCCCCAGTGATCCTCAAGTGGTGTTGTTTTGCCTTTACTTACTTTAGAGGAAATAATAATATACCAGGGATGCAGTAAATACAATAATAAAATAGAGTGTGCAGCAGAGGAGCAGTGGGAACTGAACTCCTCTCCCAACTGCCACCCCCACAGAACCTCCTAAGTCAGAGTTTGTCTAACTTATGGGGTTTCTGACCTACTGTACAGAAGTCCAACTTAAAGGGATCCTAATTGATTCATTGTTAATCCTCTCCTCATCACTCTCAGGGAAGGCAGGGACAAGCAAGGCCCCAGAAACAAGCAATGGTTACACACCACAGGACTCTGCTGCAAATATAGGCAAGTGTGAGTCAACACAAGTTACTACGAAGTTGGCAGTCACTTCTCTCCTGCACCGGTTTAGAGAAGTTCTCGTTAAATATGTGGATGATGAGAAGCTCAGTGGGAAATGTCCCTTACCCAGGTGTGTGAAGTTATATTGTTGCATTATATTTTGGTAGAAACTAATACATTCTTAACATTCTTTACCATTCCAAAGCCTGGATTAGTATACAGGGCTGCCTCACTTATCGCAAAGGTTACGGGCATGAAACTCGTTGCAAATATTGAAGTTGCGAATAGCGGAGCAATTTCTCCCATAAGAAATAATGTAAATAGGGGGATACAGGCATCGCGGTGGTCACGGCTGTCAGATTTTAACACTTGTTTTACTCAATACATTGAGAACATGAAATAAGTAAAGAAACAAGGGCATAATATCAAATAAACATCAAAAACAAACACTTTGATTTTATTAGGCGTATATGTTTACAAGTACTGTACAGTATACAGGGGTACTTAACATGTTTGAGTGTGTGAGTGCTTGAATGTTTATGTGCGTAGGTGTGTGAGGTAAGTCTTAATCGTAAACTGTTAATTTACCTCTGATGTGCTGTGTTGCTTGCTTGCTGAAGTTGGCATTAGGGGAGAGGGTGAAGGTTTACTGGGGTGAGAGGAGGCCGGGGTCGTCAGCCACCTCACTCTCCTCACTGCCAGGGTCGTCAGCCACCTCACTCTCATCACTGCCAGGGTCGTCAGCCGCCTCACTCTCATCATCACTGCCAGGGTCGTCAGCCACCTCACTCTCATTATCGCTGTAAATTTGCACTGAAAGCTGTTGTTCTCCACTGGTTGAAGGCTGTGGTTTACTTGTTGAAGGCTGTAGTTTTACACTGGTCTTGAACAGCTGCCTAAAAGCTGTGTTCTGTTTGGATGTATGTGGGGTGGTTGGTGCACTGGGGGTTGAAGGTTTGGCCCTGATAAATGCATCAAGAGTCATTTGTTGTGCATTCTTCCTCTTCTCAAGCACCTCATAGTATGCTCGTATGTCTTTCTTGACATTGCGGATGATAGTGCAACTTCGGTCAACATTAGGGTCCATTTCTATTGCCATATCCATCGCCATCTCAAATGAAGAAATCAGCTTCCTTAGGTTCCGTTCAATGAGGAGTTGTGTTGGAGTTTCATCTGCATTTTATCCCGTTGCAAGTGGCATTTCTTCTTGCTGAAGCCTCTCCAGTTCTATCAGGTCTTCATTGGTAAGTTCTTCATTGTGAGAGTCGAGGAGGTCTTCTACGTCAGCGTCATCCACTTTATCGAATCCAGCCTTCTTTACAAGAGTCACAATAGTCTTCCTTACTGCAGGCACTGAAGGGAACCAATGAAGTTGTGCACACACTCGGGCCACAGCTTACTCCACACACCGTTCATGTTCTGTTGTGTTATTGCCTCCCATGAATCACTGATGGTTTTTATGGCTTTCCTGATGTTTTTTTTTTTCCAAAACTCCAGGATTGTAGGTTTCCCTTCTCCATCGGCCCCCTCAATCAGCTGCTCCATGATACGTTGAGTGTAGAGCGCCTTGAATGTAGAGATGATGCTCTGGTCCATGGGTTGCAGCAAAGTCGTGGTGGTGGGAGGCAAAAACACAACTTTAATGTTCTTACACCAGTCAACCATAGCTGGTGGATGAACTGGTGTGTTGTCGATCACCATCAGAGCTTTATCATCAAAATTATTTTCCTTATTATAGCGACTGATGTGACCAGACACATAGTTGAGCATGTAGTCGTGCATCACAGACCCTGTCGCCCACGCCTTACGGTTTGAACGCCAGATGACAGGAAGTTGTCCCTTCACAACCCCCCCCCCTCAGAACATGGGGTGTTTCAGACCGGTACACAAGGAGAGGCTTTAACTTCAGGTCACCTTCAGCATTTTCATCAATCAATAGAGTGAGGCAGTCCTTGGCAACTTTGAATCCAGGTGAGGTCTTTTCCTCCTTAGATATGTAGGTCCGTGAAGGCATTTTCTTCCAAAAGAGTCCGGTCTTGTCCAAGTTGAAGACTTGCTTAGGACTGTACCCACCCTCCTTAATTATGGTTGTGAGAAATGGTGGGAACTTCTCTGCGCTAGCTGATTCTCCTTGTATTTTTAGGTTGTGGATTGATATATGTTTCCTAAATCTATCAAACCATCCACGGCTGGCACTGAACTCAGGTATGTTTGGTTTATCTTTCCACAGCGATCTTGCCTTCTGTTGAATCATGCATTGCGTTAAAGGTGTTTTAAGGCGCTGGGTCTGGTCGTCAATCCACGTGTTCAACATCCACTCTATACTCTGCATCTCAGCATCATGGAACCTCATCACCTTAGTAGCCGTCAGTGGTGTTGCAGACCCGGCCATCTCCTTGATCTTGTCGCTGCTTTTAGCTATAGAATGCACCGTAGAGGGAGCCAAGCCGTGCACGCGCCCAATCACCGACGTTCCTTTTCCGTGTTCATGTCTTTTTACGATATCCAATTTCACGTTCAACGTGACTGCCACACGTGATCTCTTAGCAACATTGCTGGGAGTTTTAGTAGCTGGTCGCTTGGGCATTACAAGATCACACAAAACACAACTGCGAGATCACACAAAACACACACCAGCACGCGTGAGACTGAGGCGAGCAGGAGTGTATGGCGGAGGAATACGTACACACACTGTCCTGCACTACGGTTGAGGCGCGCGGTTCTAAATTTTTGCTCGTAAGAATTTGCGAATAAACGGGGCAACTATTGCGAATACTGTAGTGGAAATGGGAAACAATAAATTGATTGCGGGTAACCGGGGTTACGAATACCGAGGCTATGAATAACGGGGTTTGCCTGTACAGTAATATCTCCCTTAGCCGGAATCCCTCAAACCCGGAACTCTCCGATAGCCGGAAATGAAATTTTCTTAGAGAATTGTTCACAAAGCCAGAATTTTCTGGAAAATTCCGAAAAAATTCCCGATATCCGGAAAATTCTGGGAATGGGGGAGTTTTTTCCGGGTTTGAGAGATGAAAATCAGGTGCATTTTCTGGAAAATCCAAGGATTTTTTTTGTTACCCGGAAAATTTTGGGGATGGGGGATATTTTTCCGGGTTTGAGAGATGATGTAATGGGCAATTTTTGGAACTTCAGAGAAAATTTTTCCATTACCCGATAAATTCCGGGGATGAGATTTTTTCTGGCTTTGAGAGAGTCATCTCGTTAACCGGAAATCTCTCCTTCCCGGAAGTGCTCTGCACCAATTGTTCTGGCTAATGGGGATATCACTGTACAGCTCCTCCCCGACTTATGACCTACTCGACTTACGACCTACTCGACTTACGACCTACTAGTCTTACGACCACCCGCACTTACGACCTGTCTCAGTCGTACCAAAATTTGGTCAAATTACGTATTTTCGAGTCCCAAAGTTAGTACACAGACAAAATTTTCGTTTGTAATTCACTTTAAAATGGCTGGCAAGCATAAAAATGAGAGTTCTCATGGTGCTGAGAAGAAAAAGAGACATCCATTTTAGATTTTCTATGTATTATTTAACCATTTTTGTCTTGCTACCATTTCGACTATGACCTGAATGTCGGTCCCTAACCCCGTCGTAAGTCGGGGATATCACTGTATTTAGTCTCTGCTGATATTTATCTCACCAGTATGTTACTGTATTATCTGATTCTGTCTAGAAAGACTTATAAATATGCCAGCTGAAGCCTAAGGGTGTTAGAGTAACCCTAATCATAGAACATTTGGAGAGAAGTCAAAGTTACTTGTAGGCTGGGAGGTGATGAATCATGATCACTCAGCACATGTGTAACCCTGTCTTTTATTCATCTACATTTACAGTTCTTCATTACTTTTATGGGCTAACTATTTTGTTCTACAGGAATAGTACTTTACATGCATAAAGGAGTAACTAGGTAAAGGATTTTGTTCACAGTTATAGCTACATTAGATGTCTTAATGCATGTAATTCTACGTAAGATGAAGTAAAACCTGGATTTTGCTTAAGAGTTCAAGTGAGCCAGCAGTCGTATGAATAAAGCATACGAGATCTATGTCCTGAATCTTATTTATTACAGCAAGTCCCTGTTGTACAAAAGGGTTAGGTTCCACCAAAACACTTCCGTTTGGTGGATTATGTTCACCGAAACCATTTTTCCCATATAAATTACTTTAAAAAGGGGGTTGTGTTCTTGTATTAAGCTCTGTGACAAAATAATTGCAACACATCAAAATACTGAAGATAAAAACAAGAAAACATGTAAAACATAAAGGTACATAAACAGAGTTGTCAATTGTTGTTTGTGGGAATATTCACTCTAGTAATGGTACAATGTTTCTTATTATGTTATTGTAAGAAAATGCCTGGTTTATATAATGTTTATAACTGAGCCCAACACCATTCTCAAATTAGACTACATACAAGATATGTATTTCACCCATATGTTGAGCATCATCTTCAGTTGTAACTCTCTTCACTCCCTGCCACATTTCACTGGATTTATTGTCATTATTAGTGTTTACTGATAGAATAGTGCTTAATTATGGCATTGTAGCCAGGTTAGACTCATCACTGTAACCACCAGGCTACTAGGCCAAGCTGTGAGGTGTTATGGTTGTTTTTCAACTCTTATTTTTGGGTAGATATTTGTAACTTTCTTCATTTATTTTTACTCAGTTACTTGCACACACAATCCTACATACAAATTGTGAAGAAAAAAAATTATTGTCCTAAGGTCAAACACATAAAGGGAATATATATTTCTTTGCACATGAGATAGCTGGCTAGGGAGACAGCAGAAGTAGCTCCCAGCTGGTCTGTTACTATGGTGAAGCAGGGAGTCTACGCAAATGGTGACTGTGTTAAACTTTCATTTGGCTTCTATTTACTGATTTGGCAATACAGTAAAACCTCACTAAGGCGGACTAATTGGAGTGAAGGGGTGTCCTGGATAAGACGTTTTCTGCCTTGGAGCAATTTTTTTAAAAAGACCTCCATTTTAAAAAAAAAATAAGTACAACACCAATGTATCCAATTTTTATGAATGAAATACATGTTTTTAATCAAAATTCATTGAAAAAAATAAGTAATATACACAAAGAACTGTACAC